ATTACCAAAATGTTTCTCTCTCTCCTTTCATCAAAAAAAAGTGTGAGGCTGTTAGAAAGTTTAGTTGCAGCTTAGAAACAGCAAATCTTCAGCAGTGAGGCCAATGTGTTGCTGCTGAGGTCAAAGTGCAGGCTTTGGTAAGTGTCAGGCCTCACTGAGGAAGGTGAGTTGCATTAAGATACTGCAAGATAAGGTCTCCACTTTTCTTTTATTCCAATAGTTACGATGGGGGCAGTAATGTCAGTTGGTGGAGTGATATATTCCTCCTTTGAGGTGCGGGAGATCAGGTAGAAGTCAAATGGTCCTGACAACTTTGCAGGAAGTATGCTCCTCAGTGAGTCCACCTGCAGCTCTTCTCAGGCCACATGGATCAGTTCAAGTGGCAGGTGGACTCACCGAGGAGCATACAGGAGGCAAAGGCTTTATAGACAGGAGTTTCAGGGATGTAGTCACACCAAAGGTTCACCCATATAGGTAGGTGACCACCAGGAGGGGCAGACCGGCAGTACATGAGTCCCCCGTGGCTATTCCACTCTCCAAATAGGTATATGGTTTTGGATACTTTTGGTTGAGGGGGAAGGAGGTACGAGGTGATAGCCTCTCAGGGGAAAGTAGCAGCAGCAGCCAGGTCAGTGACCATATTACCAGCACCGTTGTATAGCGGGGAATGTTGAAGTTTAGGTGAGTGGTAGTGATGAAGGACTCTATAGTCAGGGGCACAGACAGGCATTTCTGTGGCTGCGAACATGACTGCAGGATGGTGTGTTGCTTCCCTCATGCCAGGGTCAATGATGTCTCTGACTGGCATAAAAGGGGGAGGGGGAGCAGCCAGAGGTCCTGGTCCATGTTGGTGCTAATGACATAGGCAGAAAGAAGGATGAAGTCCTGCAAAAGGCAATTACGGAGTTAGGTAGAAACTTGAAAAGCAGGAACTCTAGGGCTATAATCTCTCACCATGCACTAGCGAGGCCAGAAATAGGAAGGTAACACAGTAGAAGTGGCTAAAGAGCTGATGTGGGCAGGAGGATCATTGGGATCTCTTCCAGGGCAGGAGGGACCTGTATAAGAAGGACCTAAACTGGAGGAGCGCCAATATCCTTGTAGACAAGTTTGTTAGTACCACTCAGGTGGATTTAAACTAGTGTGTGCACAATGGTGTGGAACCAGAGCAGTAGGTCAGCATGTGGAGTGGTTGAGGAGAAGGTAAGTCAAGTAAGTTAAATAGGAAGAACAGGTAGAGCCACCTTAATGAACAAGGCAGGACTGGCAGTCTACAGTGCATCTATTTAAATGCAAGGAGTAAAACAAATGAGCTTAGAACCTGGATTAGTACACGGAACTATGATATTGTAGTTATTACAGAAGCTTAGTTGAGAGAAGGGCAGGACTGGCTGGTCAACATTCCGGGCATGGTCAATGTTTCAGGCATGATAGAGAGGGATGTAAAAGGGGTGGGGGAATTACCTGACCAATTAAGGAGAATGTCATAGCTGCACTAAGAGAGGACATCTTGTAGGGCTCATCCAGCGAGGCCACATGGGTAGAACTTAGGAATAAGAAAGGTGTAATCACTATGATGAGTTTGTACTACAGGCCTCCCAATAGCCAGCCAGAGATACAGGAGCAGATATGCAAGCAAACCATGGAAAGGTGTAAAAATACCATAATTCTGAAAGGGATGGTGAGCCAAAGGTTTTGGCCAGGTTTGTTGTAGTCAGTTATTTTAACTTCCCCATATTGACTGGGAGTCCCTTAGTGCCAGGGGCTTAGATGGTGCAGAATTTGTTAGGTGCATCCTGTAGAATTTAAACAATATGTAGATAGTCCAATTAGGGAAGGGGCTGTAATAGACTTTGTGTTGGAAAATGGGCCTAGCCAGGTGATCGAAGAATCAGTGGGAAGCATTTTAGAAACAGTGATCAGAATTACATAAGTTTTAATACACTTAAGGATAAGGAGAAGACTGGTCCTCGACTGGTGCTAGTCATAGAGTCATACAGTGCAGAAACAGGCCCTTCAGTCCACTTGTCCATGTCGACAAGGTGTTCTAAACTGAAGTAGGCCCCTGGCTAATCACAAACCTGTTAGGCAGGAACTGGAGAACTTAGATTGGAGGCAGCCATTTGGGGGTAAATCCACATCTGACATGTGGGAGTCTTTTAAATTGACTGGAGTTCAGAGCATATTCCTGTGACGATGATACATAAGGGTGGCAAGATTTGGGAATCCTGGATGTCAAGCGGTAATAATATTTTAGTCAAAAAGATAAAGGAAGTATGTGTAATGTTTAGGAAACTGAAAATAGACAAGGCCTTTAGCAATATAAAGGAAGCAGGAAAGAAATTAACCAAAGAATTACGAGGGTTAAAATGGACCATGTAATGTCTTTGGCATGTAGGATTAAGTAGAATCCCAAGGCATTTTATGTATATTATGAACAGGAAGGCAGCTAGGGAAATGGGAGGTCAACTCAAGCAAAAAGGAAGGAATTTATGCCTACAACCAGTGAAAGTAAGTGAGGTTTTTAATGAGTACTTCGCATCAGTATTCATTAGGACATGAATGATGAAAAGTTTAGGGAGGTACATGTGGATATTCCAGAGCATGTCGATAGTTTGAAGGAGGTTTTGTAGGGTGTGTTCAAAAATATTAAGACAGATAAGTCCCCAGGATCAGATGAGATCTATGCCAGGATACTGAGGGAAGCAAAGGAGGAGATTGTTAGGGCCTTTATGTAGGTGTTTGTATCCACTTTAGCTATTGGTGAGGTGCCAGACTAGAGAATAGCTGCTGTTATTCCTTTGTTTAAGAAGGGCAACAGAGACAATCCAGGAAATTATAGGCTGGCGAGTCTTACATCGGTGTTAGGGAAATTTTTAGAGAAGATTCTTAGGAACAGGATTTACTTGTACTTGGAAGAGAATGGACTTATTAGGGACAGTCAGCATGGCTTTGTGTGGGGAGGTCTTATCTCACAAATATGATTGAGATGTTTGAGAAACTTACGAAGATAATTGATGAGGGTATGACAGAGAATGTTGACTATATGAGCTTTAGTAAAACATCTGACAATGTCCTTAATGGTCGACTGGCCAGAAGATTAAGTCACATGGGATCCATGGTGAGTTGGTAAGTTGGATACAAAATTGGTTTTGTCATAGAAGCCAGAGGGTAGTTGTGAAGGGGTGTTTTTCTGAATGGAGGTCTGTGACCTGTGGTGTTCCACAAGGATCTGTGCTGGCACCTCTGTTGTTTATGTGGGTGATCTGATTAGTAAGTTTGCAGACAACACAAAAATTGGTGGAGTTGTGGATAGTGAAGAAGGTTGTCAAAGGATATAGATCAGTTGGAAAGTTGAGTGGAGAAATAGCAGATGGAGCTTAGTCCAGACAAGTGTTAGGTGATGTATTTTGGGAGATCAAATGCACCAGGAAAGAACACAGTAAATGGTAGGACCATTAGGAGCATTGATATGCAGGGAGATCTTGGGGTGCAAGTCCATAGGTCCCTGAAAGTGGCAATATTGGTGGATAATTTATTAAGGAAGGTGTACGGTATGCTTGCCTTTACGGTCAGGCATTGAGCACAAAAAGTGGGAAGTCACGCTGCAGCTGTATAAGACTTTAGTTAGACCACATTTGGAGTATTGTGTGCAGTTCTGGTTGCCACATTACAGGAAGAATGTGGAGTATTTGGAGACGGTGCAAAAGAGATTTACCAAGATGTTACCTGGACAGGAGTATATTAGCTATAAGGAGAAGTTGGACAAACTTGGATTGTTTTCACTAGATGATCGGAAGTGGAAGGGTGCCCTGATAGAAGTATATAAAATTATGAGAGGCATGGATAGCAGGGATAGTCAATTTTCTTTTCCCCAGGATGTAAATGTCAAATACTAAGGGGCACTGGTTTAAGATAAAGAGGGTAAGTTTAAAGAAGATGTGCGAGGCAAGCTTTTTTTTCCACAGTGGGTGGTAGGTATGTGGAACCTGCTTCTTGGAAGGTGGTAGAAGCAGATACAAGAGCAATGTTTAAGATCATTTCGACAGACTAATGAACAGGCAGGGAATAGAAGGATATGGACCACATGCAGCCAGATGAGATTAGGTTAGGACGGCATCATGGCTGGCACAGACACGATGTGCTGAAGGGTTTGTTCCTCTCCTGTACTGTTCTATGTTCTAATTGAGTAATTAGCTAAGGATGTAAAAGATAGCCAGTAATCCAACCTCCCTTCTCCTTCAAACAATATTGGTACCCTGACTGCTATGTAAAGAAGGCATGTGGGTCATTCTTAGATTGTGGCCACAGATTTACATAACAATGTGTTTATGATGAACTATCACCAGAACAGAAATTGAGCAAAACCTTTCCTGTACAAGTAGGGTAAGAGTTTGCTATGAGATGGCCACCATCCATAACACAATTAACTCAGGGAGATTCGGTCACTCAGTAAAAATATATCTCCTTTCCAATGGAAATGTGATTAATTGTCCCCTGTTTGATGCAGCAGAAACTCACTGGGATAGATCAGAAACCTGAGCTAGCATTAAAACAATAATACAAAATTTAACTAAAAATACAAAGAAAAAACTGAAATAAGACTCAAATTATACATTGAAATGTGGAGTACAATCAGCATAAAGAGCTAAAGTGAAGGCTGATATTTCCAATCTTGCTCATTGTCAGCTAACCTCCATACCATGAGTCAGACCACAGAGGATTTGGGCTTTTGAGTTTAAACGCAGGACCTTTCTCATGTATCATCAACAACTGGATTAGATGCTGCTAAACAGTCCATGAATTTGTGATGTACTTAAATTTAAAAAAAAAGTGCACCAATTCATTTTCTCAACTTGAATTTTAGTTTAGTACTATGTAACAATACACTTTGCAATGTCTTATGGCATTATCCTTACATTCAGGTTGTATGAATTGAATTATTTGTGAGTTCCATTCTCAATCTTGGGTTTAGATTAAAAGTGCACATTGTAAAGTGATACAGCACAATAAAAATTATTTTAATTCTCAAACAGCAGGATTTGATAACCAAATTACATTTCTGTGATGTTTCATTCTTAGAGTTTTATTATAAATCAGAAATCAAGCTGTATTTTTGTGTATGTACTAACAACAATTAATAGCTGTTTGGTGGAAAGAGGTTGGGGTGCTGAACTCCTATCTGAGATTGGTATTACAAAACCAGGAAAAGCATCAAATCTATTATTAACAGTACCATAAACTAAAGTGACACATGAAAAGCAATGTGAAAACACAAGAAAGGTGCAGTGTAATGTAAACAAAATATGTGTTTAAAATATTTTAGATCACAGAAGGTTCCATACATCTGCAAATGAGACAGGCGGATGAGATCCATAAACAAAGATTCATCAGCCTCTCATACATGCAAACAGGGATGTACAAAGAACTGGGTCAATGAACCAATGGTTAAATTGGCAGGTTTCAAAATAACCGGTTTAGAAGCATTGAGTCCAAAAAAATTCCAAAAATCCTCTGAGAAAGAAAGTGATTATTGCTCTAAATTGGTAAATGTGGGTGAAATTGAACCATTAAAATATAGTACATATGCTGTGGTGTTCACATGGAAATATATCCATCAATAGGTAAGTGGGTGGGTTGAAATCTTAAACTTCTGCGCATGACTGCAATATTCTATGGTGATTTCATAGGCATAGAATGCATATATCCATAAATAGCTTCCATTCCTTGGAAATTAACAAAGAACTTTGTGTAGTCAACTCATTTTACATGGGTTGTAGCAGTATAGAATCTAACAACAGGCAAAATACACCTTCCAACTAGCAACACTTTTACTTTGATTCAGTGTTACTCATCTCGCCTTCTTCCCTTGTTTCCACGATGAGTTCTGATGTCCAGGTTGCCTCTCCTAGGCTGTTGATGGCCTTGCAAGTATATTTACCATCATCGTGTGCAGATACATCAGAAATAATCAAAGAACAGTTTCCATCTTCATCATATTCAATTTGATAGTGGCGAGACTCCTTGATGGGCTGTTCACCCTTGAACCACATAACTTCAGGATCTGGGTAGCCTATGAAATTATGCAATTACGTTGTTAGAAATACTCATATACGTTATGTAGCTACTTTTCATAAATAAATATGTTGTGTGTGATGGATTGATACTCCAGTTTACAATTTACAATAATTATTCCAAAAATGATTGAACCGTTGGCTATAATGTTCCATTTTGGCATCTCTGTACCAGGGTGAACATGCATTCCAAAATTCTGCACCCTTATACTTGAGGCTTGGAGCAATTTTATTGGTCAGAAAATTATGCTTGCTGTTCTAATGAAATGAATTAATTTTTTTTCAAATTCATGGTTTTAAAATAGCCTTATATTATTTTATATACACTATCAAGCGTTTTCAGATATAAACAGTATGATTATGCATTTAATGTTCCATTCACTTTTGCTCACAATTCAACACTTTCACCTATTGGTTGCTCTTTTTACTCGAAATAGGAATTACGTAAATTGAAAAAGAAAAATACTTGTCAGAATAATTTTGAATATAGGTAGGCAGATCATGGGAAGATGTAAAAACAACAAAGTTGTTGTTGGTGATCTTAATTTCACCATTATTACTAGGACAAGGGCTTAGATGGGGCAGAATACGTCAGGTATATCCAGGAGGGCTTCTTGAAACAATATGTAGATTATCCAACTAGGTAATAGACTTGTATTGAAGAAAAAGACTGGCCAGGTAATTGAAGGTTCAGTGGGGGTGCAATTTAGGACCAGTGATCATAACTCTGTAAGTTTTAAGATAGTTATGGATAAATATTAGACTGGTCCTCGGGTGAAAGTGCTAGATCGGAAAAGGGCTAATTACAATAGTATTAGGCGGGAACTGGAAAAATTAGTTTGGGGATGGCTGTTTTAAGGTAAATCCACATCTGCAATTTGGAATCGTTTAGAGGCCAGTTGATCAGTGTTCAGAACCAGCATGTTCCTGTGAAGTTGAAACATGACAATGGCAAGATTCAGGAACCCTGGATAATTATAAGATTAGTCAAAAAGAAAATGGAAGCATATGCAAGGTTTACGAAACTGAAATCAGACAAGGTCCTTGAGGAACATAAAGGAAGCAGGAAAGAATTTAAACAAGGATCAGGAAGTCTAAAAGGAGCCATAAAACTCCTTGGCAAGTAGGATATCCCAAGGCAAATTATGTATATCAGATGCAGGAGGGTAGGTAGGGAAAGGGTAGGTCCATTCAAGGACAAGGAGTGAATTTATGTGTGGATCCAGTGAAAATGGGTGAGGTCCTTAAAGAGAACTTCGCATAGGTATTCAACCAGGACAGGACATGGATGATGGTAAGATTAGGGAGGGATATGTTGATATTTGAGGCTTTGTTGATATTTAGAAGGAGGTGCTGTTGGTTGTCTTGAAAAACATTAAGGTTGATAACCCCCCAGGACCAGATGGGATCTATGCCAGGATGTGAGGGAAGCAAAGGAGGACATTGCTAGGGCCTTGACAGAGGTCTTTGTATCTTCTTTAGCTATTGGCGAGGTGCCAGACTAGAGAATAGCTGCTGTTATTCCTTTGTTTAAGAAGGGCAACAGAAACAATCCAGGAAATTATAGGCTGGCGAGTCTTACATCGGTGTTAGGGAAATTTTTAGAGAAGATTCTTAGGAACAGGATTTACTCGTATTTGGAAGAGAATGGACTTATTAGGAATAGTCAGCATGGCTTTGTGTGGCGAGGTCTTAGCTCACAAATATGATTGAGTTTTTTGGGGAACTGACAAATATAATTGATGAGGTATGACAGAGAATGTTGACTATATGGGCTTTAGTAAAACATTTGACAGTGTCTTTAATGGTAGACTGGCCAGAAGATTAAGTCATATGGGATCCATGGTGAGTTGGTAAGTTGGATACAAAATTGGCTTTGTCAAAGAAGACAGAGGGTAGTCGTGGAGGGGTGTTTTTCTGACTGGAGGTCTATAACGAATGTTCCCCAAAGTTCAGTGCTGGCACTTCTGTCGCTTTATATATATATCGTGGATAGTGAGTAAGGTTGTCAAAGGTTATAGTAGCATATAGATCAATTGAAAAGTTGGGTGGAGAAATGGCAGATGGAGTTTAATTTGGACAAGTATGAGGTGATGATTTTGGGAGATCAAATGCAAAAGGAAAGTATACAGTAAATGACAGGACCCTTAGGAGCATTGATATGCAGAGAGATCTTGGGGTGCAAGTCCATTGCTCACAGAAAGTGGCTACACAAGTGGAGAGTGTAAAGAAGGCATATAGCATGCTTGCCTTCATCATCTAATGAACTGAGTGCAAAAGTTGGCAAGTCACGTTGCAGCTGTATAAACTTTAGTTATGCCACATTTGGAGTATTGTGTAAAGTTCTGGTTGCTACATTATAGGAAGGTTGTGGAGTATTTGGAGACGGTGCAAAAGAGATTTTCGAGGATGTTGCCTGGATTGGAGTGTATTAGCTCTAAGGAGAAGTTGGACAAACTTGGATTGTTTTCTCTAGAGCATCAGAGGCCAAAGGGTGACCTGATAGACGTATATAAAATTGAGAGGCAGGATAGGGTGGATAGTTGGAGACTTTTTCCCAGGGTGGAAATGTCAAATACAAGGGGGCATAGGTTTAAGACAAGAGGGGGCAAGTTTAAAGGAGATGTGCGAGGCAAGTTTTTTCACACAGAGGCTGGTAGTGCCTGGAACGCCCTGCTGGGGAGGTGGTAGAAGCAGATACAGTAGCCATGTTTAAGAGGTATTTAGACAGGAAAAATGAACAGGCAGAGTAGAGGGGTACAGGCCATATATAGGCAGATGAGATTAGTTTAGAATGGCATCTTGGTTGTCACAGACAGGGTGGGCTGAGGGGCAAGTTCTTGTGCTGGACTGTTGTGTTCTATAAGGAAATATAGCAAGTTAGCAAAAGTGGCACACCAACGTTACAATAGATAGTTAGAACCAGACTAGAGATGGTTAATTTGCATGATGTAACTGCTAAGGAGGAGTTCCTGAATATTACCTTTCTCACAGTTCACAAAGTAGATAGTTAAGTAGGACATTCAGCCCTACTGAGCAGTGCAACAGGCACAAAGGGCCAAATGATCTACCCCTCTCCTAGTTCTTACATACAGAAAACTAACAGAGCAAAAGAACATTATTCAGATTGAAGAAATGATTTTCCATTCACCAGGGTGACAATAGGGATGGGAAATTATTGCTCTAAAGTAAGATATAAGCTAGTGGAACTATTTCCACTCAAACAGCGTAGGTGAAAAAGAGATTGACCAGAAGTGTTTAAAATTATAGATTCTTTATTTAGTAATGACTAGGATAACTATTTCCTCTGTTTGGCTGTCTGTGCCAATGGTTATAAATGTAAAATTGTCACTAAGAGAAGGAGGATGAAGTTGAGAAGTTTCTTTTTGCGACTGACTATTAGATTTTAGAACCTGTTGCCAGACAGTGGTTGTGGAAGAGATTACAACGCCCTTTAAGAGAAAATTGGATAAAAGTGGAAGTGGAAGATACATTGTTATGGGCTGAAAGTAGGGTGTAGGGATTAGTTTTGGCTTGCTTGGACAATGGTCTATATGTTCTCTTCTGCATTAGCTTCCATAGTTAAACAGCCTTTTACTGCACTTAAATAAAAAAAAGAGCTTTATAACAGGAATGGTAATTTAACATTTTTATACCAAAATGGCGTTGTATTTCAAACTCCGTGCCAATAAAATTCATTGCATTCACAGCAACTAATCTGGATAAAGGTTCCATGTTACAGGAAGGCTTTGATCTCAATTACAATTGTTCATCTTAGAAAAGATTCACTTATTCACCAAAGATGATCCAAACAGAGTGGTTTTATATTGAAATCTATACTTTTGCTTCTTAATGTAAGATGATGCAAACTTCTACTGATGGATTCTGAATCTCAATCAGAATCTGTGAATTTACCCTCAATTTTGCAGTCAAAGCGAGCAGCACTCTCTTCTACAACTTCAGTGTCTTTAAAGGTCTTGGAGAAATAAGGCTTAAAACATTGCCTTTCTTCAGAAACTGCCTCAAGAAGCATCTTGGCTTCATCAGCTGAGATAAGGAAACACAAAACATTGAAATAGAATATCCATTTTAGGTCACTGTGAAACCATAATACCCGCACATTCTGGGCAAATGCCAATGTTGGAGTAGCTGAGAAATGTATTACACTTTATACTAGTTGTCGAGAGACTGACCGAAAAACAAAGCTTATTACTGTTAATATTTATTGAAATACAGTGTTCTCGCACCAATTTACATTGAGGCTTGTTCAGTCAGTTCTCCCATTTTTCAATTGTTGAAGCTTAAATATCAGCCAAATGGGAATGTTAATGTACAGCAGTCCCAAATTTCCGAAATTTACAAACTGAATCTCCAAATGGTGCTATCCCTGAACAGGGCGACACAATTACGTTGTGCATAAGACTGTTTAAACTTTAGGTAAGTGAGCAAAAGAAGGATTACAGGGCTTAACAGTCATCACAGTTTAATGTGTTGCTGCTTACAAGGGAATCTATATGTATGTAGTTAATGCCATTTGTTGATGGGAGTACAAATGTCAATATGTACACTTGTCACATTCTTCACTAACAATATTAAAAAGTGGTAAAGAATATGTAACATAATAATAGTTCTCATTAATAGTGCAGCTTGAATAGAAGTAGGGTAGTTTTTATGATTTAAAAAGTAATATGATCATTGCATGGTTATACAAACAATAGAATAATGATAAAAGTGTAGAAGATATGTTGAATGATACAATAGCACAATGTCAGGGGCAAGGTGTATTTCAGCACTACAGCTGACAAAACTGTTTTATCAAACTGATAGACAGCAGAAATCCTGTAGCACTTTCTGTTCTGGATTAACATTTGTAGCTATATCCCCATTTAGCCTTGTGCTGTGCTCCAAGTGAATTCTATTCAGGTACATTTTCTGAAATATTCCTCAGTATATAAAGTGTGAATGCTATTATACTGCATTCTGAAACACTGTTACTGGAATTTCCCACCAGCCTACAAATTTTCTGAACCCCCTTTGAACCCATAGAGCTTCTTCCCAATCTCTTCACATAATTGGATAGCATTCATTAAGTAAAATAATTTTCTCAATTTTACTCATAGTTATAATTGATGAAAATAGTAGACAATTCTAAGAATCATAAAACACATTCATTTAAATGATTACAGTTACTAATGGTAAATGAAAAACTGTCACCAGAGAGAAAAAAACACAATTAGCTAGGGAAAAAGAAAACAAATTAGCTGCAAATACTGATAATCTGAAGTAAAAACAAAAATTGCTGAAAATACACTCGTGAAAAGGAAATAAATATTTTTGTTTCAGGTGAAACCTCTCATTAGAACGTAGCTTCTTGAAAAGATGGTGTGAAAATTATTGGCTAGGTTTTGTAGTCCGCAGCAAAGCAAAAATGCTCACCACTGACCTGAAAAAGGTGTCTATTCAGAGCGTGTCATCTCAGACTGGAGGAGAATTCTACCAGTTCGCATGGGGTTGGGCTGTAGTTGGGTGGAGGCGTCAATGGATGTGTGGTAAAATCAGGGTAAGGCATGTCAAAGTAGACTTTCTGTCTACACCCTACCACTGGGGAATTTTACTAACAGCAAATTTAAATCTTTAAAAACCCTTTTAAGGGGCCTTTTCTCAGGCTGTCAGCAAAATGCTGGATTGTAAATCGACTCCTATGCTGGATCGGGAGGCCACCAGCTGAATGCAGAAACTCGGCTTTTTAAGAACAGGCAAAATTCTTGAAACATCATGCTAGATTTCAGATCTGAGGAAGGGTCACTGGACACGAAATGTTAACTTAGTTTTTTCCTTCGCAGATGCTGCCAGACCTGTTGAGCTTTTCCAGCAACTTTGTTCTCGTTCCTGATTTACAGCGTCCGCAGTTCTTTCGGTTTTTATCATACTAGATTTGTTGTTTTACAGCAATATTTTGCTTCTAATGAGTCTATTTCTCATTCAGTACTAGCGAGGTGTTGTGTATTTTTTGGGGAACGTAATAATTGAAACATAAAGAAATAACAAATGTGTTCATTGCCTGGCTGCAATACAGATTTATGTTTTTCATGTAAACATGACTGAATCTTAAAATGTCAAAAAGCCATGATTTTTATTACCTTCGGTTTCTGGCTTTTCAGCAGAATCTGGAGGACTGGTGGGCACATTTCCCAGTGAGGTCTTCCTCCCACTTAGACCAGCTAGCATTGCCATAGAAGACAGCCGTCCTATTGCCCGGACTGCATGTCCTGTTTTCTATAAATCACAAAAGAACTTAATAATTTGAAATTTTGTTTGACAAAGTGTGACGTAGACTATGAGATTTATGTATATTTTTAATAGGTTGTGTGTTAAGTTTGTGCAATTTTGTAATTTGAACTAGTGGCAAGAAAAGAAAGCTAGATTTGTTAACACTAGATTACATTTAAGTAAGGAGTTAGTGATAGTCCCAGACTGGAAATGTTTGAATAACACCCTGAAGAGGTTGTTTGAACTGACAAGGTTTAAGGTCAGGTGTATGATAGCTCTTGGAATAAGCAATCAGAATTTCCAGGCTGGGAGTTGAAGTAAAATTAAACTCATGGAGATGCTAGAGAAATGGATTTTCTGGTGTGGGTACTGTACAAGGGGTGCTTTTGGATACTGCACAGGGATTTTTTTGGTAATAATGCGGCTCTATTGTGTGTTTCAATATCTTAATACTTGTTTTACAAGTAAATAGTCTGGTTTATTCTATTTTTATCTTCATTTCATTTACTTAGTGTTCTTAGGTTTAAGTGAGAGACCACCTCATTAAAACGAAATAAAAGAAAAAGATCTATCAAGCCAGATTTCAGTCTGTGATCTGACTCCGTCACTAACATGATGGAAATTTCAGGCAGATGTGTAAATTGGAAATCTGCCGGCAACAGGCAGGAGGAAGCTTAGTTATGCAAATCCAGGAAATACACTAGTTGTAGAACTAAAACCAAAGATGGTTTTGGCCTTAAAATATCAGTTGGTGATGCTGAAACTCCAGTGATTCTGTACTGATTTCAGACAGAAGTTGGAGAGCAATCTCATCAGTCCTTTTTTTATAAAGGAATACTTTTTAAAATTTGTGAGGAGAGAAACAGAGTTATGGGCTAGAATTTAAATTCCTGTTGGGACTGATATTGAGGAAACAGGAAAATAAAAATAAGAGTTGCTTTTGCAGAGTACGACCAGCAAGAGTGTGCGATCACTGGGAGTTGGGCTAAGCGTGGGAGTATAGGCGTGTGGGGGAGGGAGGCATTGCTGTGTTCAGTTCCCGCTCTTTTTGCAAGGGACTGCTCTGCGGTCGAGGTGCTGCTGTTTAGATCTAAAGTGAATACCAGGCTTTGTGGGGGAGGGGAAGTGTCAACAAGGTAAGGCTAGAACCTTTTCTTTTCTGCCCTAAGTCCACTACTTGTTAAAGGGACAGAGATGGCAGTCAGTGGAGTGGTATTCTCCTTCTGTCAGATGTGGGAGATCAGGGAGCAGTCGACTGTCTCTGGTGACTATGACTACAGAACTGAGTCTGGCTGCAGCCCCTCTCATACTGTATGGATCAGTCGGAGATGCCATTGGAAGGACTGAAGAGCTTACTGAGGCAGAGAATGTGATAGATAGTAGCTTCAGGGAGGTGGTCACACCGCAGGTACAGTCAGGTAGATGGGTGACCGCCAGGAGAGGTAGGAGGTAGTAACAGGAGTCTCCTCTGGCTGTCTCCCTCTCAAACAAGTTTACAATTTTGGATACTATTGGTGGGGTGGGGTTGGGGGGTGTAAGCCTCGCTGGGGAAAGTAGGAGCAGCAGCTAGGTCTTTGGCACCACGACTGGCTCTCTTGTAAAGCAGAGTATGGCAAAGTCCAAGCAATCAATTGTGATAGGGGGACTATCTAGTCAGGGGCAGAGACAGCAATGTCTGTCTATACCTACCATAGCCTCTTTCCTTTATTTTAAAACAAATATAATTCTGGTCATTGGTCCCAAAGTGCTCCCCCACTAACACCTCAGTGACTTGCCCTGCCTTTTTTCCCCCGAGAGGAGGTCGAGTTTTGCCCCTTCACTGGAATCAAGTGAATTCCTTGAGGAGTATGGGAGGTGTAGGAGTAGACTTAAGAGGGAAATCAGGACGGCAAAAAAAGGATGTGAGGTAGCTTTGGCAGATAAGGTTAAGGAGAATTAAAAGAGATTCTTCAAGTATATCATGGACAAAACAGTAGCTAGGGAGAGAATATGGCCCCTTAAAGATCAATCAGCCATCTATATGTGGAACCACGAGATAGTGAGATTCTAAATGAATATTTTGTGTCAGTATTTACTGTGGAGAAAGATATGGAAGCTAGGGAACTCAGGGAAATAAATAGTGATGACTTGAAAAGAGTTCACATTACAAAAGAGAGGGTGCTGGAGGTTTTAAAATACACAATGGTAGATAAATCTCGAAGACCTGATCAAGAGTATCCCAGGACATTGTGGGAAGTGAGGGAAGAAACTGTGGTCCCTGGCAGAGATATTTGTTTCATTGACAGCCACGGATGAGGTACTTTTAATTCTTTCCCCTCTCACCTTAAATCTATGCCCTCTAGTTTTGTACTTCCCTACCCTGGGAAAAATGTTGTGCCATGATTTAAGAAAGGCTGCAAGGAAAAGCCAGGGACCTACAGACTGGTGAGCCTGATGTCAGTGATGGGTAAGTTATTGGAGGGGATTCTGAGAGACAGGATCTATGTGTATTGGGAAAGGGGCAAGGACTGATTAGAGTTGGTCAGCATGGCTTTGTGCATGGGAGATCATGTTTCACAAACTTAAAGTTTTTGAAGAGGTGACCATTTAGATAGATGATGCAGAAGGGTAGACATTATCAATATGGACTTTAGCAAGACCTTCAACAAGGTTCTGCATGTTACACTAGTTAGTGCGGTTAGATCAAAAGCAATCCAGGGAGAGCTAGCCAACTGTATATGGAATTGGCTTGATGGTAGGAGACAGAGGGTGGTAATAGAAGGTTGTTGTTCAGACTGGAGGCCTGTGACCAGCGGTGTGCTGCAAGGATCGGTGCTGGGTCCATTTTCGCTTGTCATTTGTATAAGTGATTTGGATGAGAATATAGGAGGCAAAGTTACTAAGTTTGTGGATGATACCAAAATTGGTGGTATATGTACAGTGAAGAAGGGTACCTAAGAATACAATGGGATTTTGATCAACTGGGCCAGGGGGCTGGGGAATGGAAGATGGATTTTAATTTGGTAAATGCGAGGTGTTGCATTTTGGTAAGACAAACCAAGTTAATCATAGGATCCCTATAGTGTAGAAAGAGGCCATTTGGCTCATCAAGTCGGCACCGACCCGGCGAAGAGTATACCACCCAAGCCCAGAACCCCATCTTATTCCCACAATCCCCATTTCCCATGGCTATTCCAACTAACTTGCACATCCCTGGACACTACAGGGCAATTTAACATGGCCAATTCATCTTATGGTAGGGCACTGGGAGTGCCATCTAACAGAGAGACCTAGGGTTGCAGGTACATAGTTCCTTGAAAGTGGCATCACAGGTGGATAGGGTAGTGAAGAAAGCATTTGGCACACTTGCCTTCAATGGTCAGAGCATTGAGTACAGGAGTTGGGACGACATGTTACTGCTGTGCAAGACATTGATAAGGCCACATTTGGAGTACTGTGTACATTTCTGGACGCTTTGCTATAAGGAGGATGTTATTAAACTGGAAAGGGTGCAAAAAAGATTAACAAGGATGTTCCAAGACTGGAGGATCGGAGTTATAAGGAGATGCTGGATTGGCAGAGATCTTTTTTCCCTGGATAGTTGAAGGTTGAGGGGTTACCTTATAGAGATTTATAAAATCATAAGGGGCATAGATAAGGTGATAAGCCGAGGCCTTTTAAGGTGAGAGGGCAAAGAATTAAAAGACACCTCAGGGGCGACGTTTTCATACAGGGGGTGGTGCATATATGATCTGAGCTGCCAGAGGACGTGGTAGAGGCAGGTACAATTACAACATTTGAAAGACATTTGGATGGATACATGGATAGGAAAGGTTTAGAGGCATATGGGCCAAACGCAGGCAAATGGGACTAGTTCAATTTAGGAGACCTGGTCAGCACGGGCAAGTTGGGCTGAAGGGTCTGTGTCCGTGCTGTATGACTCTATGACTCTCATCATTCAATTCAGAAGGCAACACTGATAGAAATAGGGAAATCATTCCAACAAAATCAGCAGAGGATGGAAATATCAGGAAAAAAAATCCTATCATGATGGACAGCAATGTCTTTCCACTGTGCATAACATGAAAATACATGACTTTCTGAAGGGAAATGAAGGATTAATGGGGAAGAAGGACAATTTATTTACGACTGGAAAATAAAAATAATTATGTCCCTAGCTGTGGTGTGCATTGAAATAAGCTTTCAATCGTAGCCACTGGATGGCAAAATGAATGGTACATTGTTGTTTCATTGTTAGGCTTAGGCATGGTATCATCTCTATGATTGTCTGAAAAAAATCTACTCTAAATGTGTTTCAGCAGTTTTGACAGTGCAGCCCCTCCCTCCTAAAATCTGAAACAACAAGGAAAGTATCCATCGTGAACATCAGAGTGGTGTGCTAGGGTAGGTAAGAAACATTCCAGGGATAGAGTGAATTCAACTTTTTCATGCACCTTACCAGCTTATGCTTGAGCTGATGACATTACCTGCTGACATCAATGTTAAAAGATGGAAGTGCTTTGTTCAGCAACAGTAATGTTTCTTGCCATAAAGGTCAAGAAGTTCTCAGCTTCAAATCTTTGGTTTGCCATAGATTTGGAAACAAATGCTGACCCAAAGGTCTTCCTAAAGCATGTTATTCCAGTGAGAAATGATAATGATGAGCAAGCATAGCATATGCTCAGAGTTGCAACTGTTGCAACTGAGCAACATCCATAGCATGACATTTAATTTGTTTTCCTCTTCATTCCATAAGGAAGAATAAATCTTTGTGGTACTTTTCTATAAGGGAACTGCCTATTTTAAATCTATGCCGTCTAGTTTTGTACTCTCCTACCCTGGGAAAAAGGCCTTGGCTTATCACCTTATCTATGCCCCTCATGATTTTATAAATCTCTATAAGGTAACCCCTCAACCTTCAACTATCCAGGGGAAAAAAGTCCCTGCCAATCCAGCCTCTCCTTATAACTCAGATCTTCCAGTCTTGGAACATCCTTTTTTGCATGTAAATCTCTTTTGCACCCTTTCCAGTTTAATAACATCTTTGCTATAGCAGAGCGACTAGAAATGTACACAGTACTCCCTACTTTGCTTATTAAGTGATATCTGATGGGAAATATTAGGTGAGGGTAGTTCCGATGCCAGCCCCATGAACAAAAACTATTCATGCGCCTCTGTGATTACTGGTCACATGAGTGACGTACCAGATGGCTGCAATACTCCGCTATATTGCTTTGTTTAGATAAACAGCCTGAAGCAGCATCTTCAAGAAGGAAGGAGAAAAGAAGGATTCAAATAAAAAGAATAAAAATGTTACCTTTCTGAATTTTGTTTAGTATTTTGTGAGATATTTCAGATGGATAGGGTATTTCTCAGTGACTCAGTTATTTCATTTAACTCTGTTTTTGTTTGGTTAATTGTACCTGCCATTTCCTCCTGGCCATGTACTTCTTCATTCTTTCCTTTGAAAGTTTTTTCACTGCCATGTTGTTAACGTCTTTTTTCAACCACTTATGCTCAAGGCACTGATCACAATTCATACGATGTCTGGTGATGTAGGAACGAATATGGCATAATTTTAAGATATGAACATAATTACCTTTTGCAAAGTGATACTGATATCTTGATTGGCATTTGAAAAGCAATATAATAATATTAAAAAATCCAAGATATCATAAAATCTTTACTTCATGTCTTTTTTCAGGAGATGGTCAATGAAGTCTTTGGCATCATCTGAAATTTCATCAAAAGCATCATCATCAAAGTCCCAGGTAGCAGATGTTACATTGGCAAGAGTTTCATTGTCATTATCACCCATGAATGGAGAAAGTCCACTGACCCTAATGTACAAAATGAAAATTAGATTACATAGTACCATTAAGGTAGAAACTTAACAAGATTAATCCTTTATAAATACTTGTTACCTTACTTGCAGATTTGCAAACTTCCCAATTATTTCTAGAAAATGTCATAACCAAATGAAATCAAAAATGCTGTTCTGAGACTATTAACACAATTTACACATTGCTACACCAACTACAGTATTTGTGTACCAATATATTTCCACTGTTGCAGTTACAAACAGAGTCATCATTACAAACATTTATTAGAAAGAAACAGTCTGCTGTATGAGAAAATTGGCTGGTGATGATCTTTTAGGGAAGTCAATAGCTTCACCACAGAATTGGACACTGCACAGCATTGAAAATGATAGACTGCCATTATTTACTAATGATAATTACTTTCTCATTTTGCCATAGGTCTTCTTAAAACATGTTATTCCAGTGAGAAATAATAATGATGAGCAAGCGTGCTACAACTGAGCACTGAGATATCCATAGCATGACGTTTAGTCTGTTTTCCTCTTCATTCCATAAGAACAAATAAGTCTTTGTAGTACTTCTCTAAGAGGGTCCTGACCATTTTTCACCAAATAGGGCACAGGATGTTGATTGATAAAAATGTGGCCAAAGCTCAGATTATCAGCCAGAATTGTCCATCCCATATTTACCTGGGTAGATTTTCTTTCTGCATAATGTCAACATCTATTAACTCAGCCAAATATTGAGGAGGAAAAATATTCAATTTAATGAGAAAACATTAAAATTGTAAATGTGGAATCTATACCTTTTTTGCCAATATTTTCTTGTCCTTTTACAACATGTTTTGTTTGAGGTTACTGCTATGATGGATATCCTAGTAAATGAGCAAAGATTCAAAAAGGGTTCAACAATAATGGTGGAGGCAAATAGAATGAGATAGATATTTCAAGATCAGAATGAATTATCTTTCTTTATGAAGAGTAAAGCATAAGGAAATTGAGACTGAGAAACAGTGTAAAAGACGACTGTATATCATTTGATTCAAATGTCATCACTGTGTCATGGAATTTTAAATTGCTAGAAGACACAGTGCACAATAGTTAGCACTGCTGCCTCACTGTGCCAGCAACTCTGGTTCAATTCCAGCCTTGGGTGACTGGCTCTGTGGAGATTGCACATTCTCCCCATGTCTGTGTGGTTTTTCACTGGGTGATCCTGTTTCCTCCCTTAGGCCAAAGATGTGCAGGTTATGCGAATTGGCCATGTTGAATTGCCTGCAGTGTGCAGGCCAGGTGGATTAGCCATGGAAAATTTGGGGTTTCTGGATGGGATGCTTTTTGGAGTGTCAGTGCAGACACTATGGGCCAAATGGCCTCTTTCTATGACACAAATAAAGTTATTGACAGTAATCATAACTAATACTGACTTTCAGGAAAGCCTTCTGGTCTAATCCAGCTTTCAATAATTCCATAATTTTGTGACTGAATTTCTTTCACAAGATGAATCTGTTTCAGCTAATGTTTACCGTAGAAAATTTGACATTCTAACCACATTTTGCATAAAGACCATTTTCCTGAACCTCCTGTTTGTTGATTTTGTGAAATTCTGAAATTTCTTCTCATTATTTCGATCCCATTGATCAATGTGAGTCATCTACCACCATTTATCCCATCTCTGTTCTTCATTAGCTTCAAAATTTCTGTCATGTCATTCCTTAAACTTTTTGGCTCTGGTGAAAAGATACCAAATTTGAACATTTGGGAGCTAGATAGCAGACACAATGGCTATCACAATGTGTTATACCTTCAGACCTGGGACTACATTAGATCTGTGGCCGTGTCAACTTTTGGTGTAACATTATTAAAGTACAACCACCAAGTTATATTTGTGCAACTTAAATTAGACTCTTCTTAAAAAATATGAAACCGGAGGTACAACATATGTATGCATTCGTGAAACATAGATTTATAAAATGCTCCTAACTAATTTATTGGATGGATTCATTTCAATATAAAAAATATTACTTTACCTATAATCTTTCAATATGTAGATTTATAAGATTAGTAGCATTCATACTGATACATTTAAAAAAAAGCTTTATTTTTCTTTTGCAGTCTGAAAAAAAATCCGAAAATACATTGAGAGAAGATTTGACGTTGTTATTTACATGTCAAAGTCCACTCTAATGATTACTTGCAGCTTGCTACCCAACCAGATCACAGAAATCCTTTTGTGTTTGGAAATAGTTCAAGAAGGGATAGATTTTAGGGAGCAGCTCAATAACAACTCAATTTATTACAATTCAGGTTCTGTGCTGCCTTTCTGGATTCAGTTTAAAACAAAATTGATAAAATAATTGTAGCTGAAAATTTTCCGAACAACATCACACTGCCTTATCAGGACTATGAGTGTCCCTTTACCCCAAAGACTGCAGCAGTTCAGGGAGGCAGCTCAACACCATCACCTTAAGGGCAATTTGGGATTGGCAGTGCTGTCATTCTATGAATGAAAAAAAGTTATTATCACAAACTGGAGAAACAAGTCAGATTAGAATGACATTGTGGCTCAACCATCTACAAAAATCCTACGGTACTTTCATCACGTCACTTAACTACTTGGTGAATGTTTCCATGGTTCGGTGTTTTCCAGCCAACATGCGCAATGGTGAGTCAGCTGTGAAAATATGGTGAGATTGGAAAACTGAGATTCTCAATATCAACGTTAGGTTTGAATGGCAAGATGAGAATCTCACTAGTGAGCAGTGAGATGCCTGTTTCCATGCATTAGCATCTCATTATTACCTATTCTGACATCAATTATATGTAATTTACGATTTGCCCACGTAGTAGAGAGAAATTAGATAAGTGACAATTCCCAACACGAAACTATAAGCAGGTACTTGGCAGTCACAGCTCGCCAATGACTCCTCCAAGTCTCCATTTGGCCAGCAGTGCCTAATGTCTCAATCAGAGATCATCAGACTCCTTCATCCATAGAGATTGGCATCAGGGATTCACCAGCCTCACTACTTCAATTTTGGCACAACATCAACTCACTAATACAGTTATCCACTTCAATACTGCACTTTGGAATGTAATGGCACCTTACATTGCAATGCAGCTTTAAGCCACTATAAGAGCAAGGAATGCACCCATCTCATCTATCGAGGCATTACGGCTCTCGGCTTGCTCTCTTTGTGTTCACCTTCTATGTGCCTACGTCAACGCTCACAGCATCTGTGCATTGCCTTGCCATCCGTACATTGCTGTCTCATTCAGAATGCACAGTCTCACAGAAATTCTGAGATAACAAGGTGTAGAGCTGGATGAACACAGCAGGCCAAGCAGC